AAGTCAAATATAGTTTTTCTATAAGCATATTATTTATTTTAAAAGCAGCATAAATATTTATCTGCACACTCTACGTGTTAAATACAGTATAATTAAAGGCAAAATATGTAGCTAGATAAGAAGAAAAATAAAACACTTAAAATGTGGTAGCCTTTCGCTACCTCTGTGTTACCAGTAGTCATTTAACTTAATTATATTTCTCTCTACCTTAAAGAGGAACCCTTTACTTCTTTCCAGAAAGTGCATTCTGGCATTGAAATGCCCCAGGTGCCTGCCCGGCCACAGTTTTTCAGCATAAGAAACCCGCGATAGTTGGGTATTTAAAAAATCTTTTATGGTGCTTTTAGTAACTTTGTTTGGATTATTGATCTCTCATTAATTGCTAGTCTCAGGGAAGACCTAACCAGGGCCCCTCTTCTCTAGAGTTTCCTCATGTCACCGAAGGTAACCACTGTCATTATTTCTTCTAGTATTTTTATGTTGAGATCATAAATATAATCTTAAATTCTGCTTTTTATACTTTGCCATACTATTGTTAGCTCTGGAGGCTGTACCTAATCAAAAATTTTAATGACATTTTGATATTCTGTCGTATGGATATCACACCTCCCCCCACACTTCAGGGATTAAATCATTACCTGACTTGGGACAACCTGACTTTCAACTCTGATCTCAGGTAATTGATACCATAATCCATTCTACATGAATGGCACATTGTGGAGGGATATGCCAATAAGTTGAAGCGATTTCCTTTTACATCTAGAAAGAGCACTGGATGATCGGAGATATGCCAATATAGTTCTTACATGGAATCTCACAATTGCATAGTGCTCTTACTTACATCAATTAGTTATATGATGTAATACTTAAAAACAAACATACATTTGTTTGCTGTGGTTTGTTTGTAACTTTTTTGTTTTAACCTTGAGTGTCACTTCTTACTATGATTGGCAAGCTTAAGACGTTTCAGCTGGCATTTAGGAAAACTGTTTTTCCTCAGAGATCCTTATTTGAGCTACTTAAGCAATGCCTATTACTCTTTAAAGGAGGAATGTGGTCAGAATCCTCCCAGAAGAAAACAAACAAAAAAACATAAACCCGTT